TTGTCCCCACTGCTATTTCTGGAGGTTGATGTGTGAAATGCTATCCTTAAAGTTTGGGAATGGCAGAAGAAAACCCAAGCTACAAAGGCGCTCTGGGCTGAGAAGGAGTGGGGGTGTCATGGACAACTTTGAATGCTGAAAAATGGATTAACTATCATATTAAGGAGATGATTGATGGTAGGATGACAGGTGAATTTTTTCTTTTCCAATCTTTCTTTAAAGTTATAACCCCTTTAAATAAAGAAAAATGAGGAAAAATAAATGAATTCATGCAGGAATCTACTGCTCAAAGAGAAATAGGGATTGAATATTAGAGTCTACCTTTTGAAAAGTTTTTATTTTGTGTTAATATCCATCTTCCCCAATAAAATTTAAGCTCCCTGAGACCCGGGGCAGGTAGGGGGGTGTCCGTCCAACTCCCCACTCTATTTCCAGCATCTAACACAATTCCCAGCATGTGGTCAGTATTTAATAAGCATGTGATAAATGAAGAAATAGATGACCATTTTTCTCAGAGTGTTAAATCAGTACAAATTTTGGGGGGAATGATTTGGCAGTCAACATTGTGCCTTAAAGACTGTATATCCTTTAATAATCATAGATGTGAACAAAGAGTAGGTCTTTTAATAATCAAAAACATTCCTTTCAATGAAATGTTATGCAAAGTTCTTTATAATTATAAAAACTTTGAAACAATCTGAATTTTACAAGTTACATGTCTGATTAAGGTATGGTACATCTGTACAATGAAATGCTATGCTGTTTATTATGATAATTTTTAAGAATATTTAACTATATGGGAAATTCTAATAACATAAAAGTAAATTAAAATTATACATATATTTAATTCTATTAAAATGAATGTATATGTAGATGGATTAATTTTTTTTAATGTTTATTTATTCTTGAGATAGAGAGAGACACAGAATGTGAGCAGGGGAGGGGCAGAGAGAGAGGGAGACAAAGAATCTGAAGCCAGCTCCAGGCTCCAAGCTGTCAGCACAGAGCCCAATGCAGAGCTTGAACCCACAAACCGTGAGATCACAACCTGAGCCAAAGTCAGCCGCCCAACTGACTGAGCCACCCAGGCACCCCAGATAGATAGATTATATATGCATGAAAGTATATACACCAAATATTTGCATTAATTGTATGTGTGTAGAGTGATCATGGGTGAGGTGTTTTGGTTTTTGTTTGTTTTTACCAAGTGCCAGCACTGTTTAGGCACTTCATTTGTATTAATATTTTTCTTGAGTTTTTTTTAAGCAGATTTATTGAGGGATAATTGATATATGATAAATTATACTTATTTAAATTTTATGATTAGATAAGTTTTTTAAAGTGTTAAATAATACTTTTTTTTTCCTGTAAAGATTTTAATGCAGTCAACTTTCCTTTTTCTTAGGCTTTAATGATGTGTAATTATTTGGTAGGGTATAAAATTATTCAGCCAATAAATTTTCTTTCATTGAAATACTAAACATTGCTATGATTTGGGGGTGGTTCCTAGTTTTATTGAGGTATAATTGACAAATAGCATTGTATTAGTTTAAGGTGTACAACATGATTTATCTGTATGTTGCAAAATGATTACCACAGTAACTTCAATTAACATCCATCACCACACACAGTTACAATTGTTTTTTCTTATGATGAGAACTTTTAAGATCCACTAGGTAAGTTTTGATATATGTATATACCCATGAAACCATCATCATAGTCCAGATAAAACATTCATCTTTCCCAAACGTTTCCTCATGCCTCCTCCAACTCCAGCCTCCCTTGTCCCCAGCCTCCCAGTGTCCCCCATTGATATGCTTTCTGTCACTATAGATTAATTTGCATTTTTAGAATTTTCTATAAATGAAGTCATACTATATATACCCTTTTTTGGGTCTGGTTTCTTTCATTCCATGTAATTCTTTTGAGATTCATCCATAGTGCTGAGTGTATTAATGCTTCATTTCTACTTACTGCTAAGTAATATTGCTTTGTATGTATACACCAGTTTGCTTATCCATTCACCTGTTGATGAACATTTGGGCTGTTTCAAGTTTTTGACTATTACCAATAAAGCTGCTATGAACATTTGTGTACAAGTCCTTATATGGACATATGCTTTCATTCCTCTTTTAAGTTTGCTTATTTAAATAAATAACCTCTACACCAATCATGGGGCTCAAACTCACAACCCCGAGATCAAGAGTCACATACTCTTCCAACTGAGCCAGCCAGGAGCCCCTCATTCCTCGTGAGTAGGATACCCAGGAGTGTAATGGTTGGATGATATGATATATATAACATTTAATTTTTTAAGAAACTGGCAAACTAGGGTACCTTGGTGGCTCAGTAGGCTAAGTGCCCAACTCCTGATTTTTGGTTCAGGTTATGATCTCATGGCTCGTGGGATTGAGCCCCATGTCGGGCTCTGTGCTGGCAGTACAGAACCTGCTTGGGATTCTCTCTCTCCCTCTAACTCTTTCCCCCTCCCCCAGTCACTCTCTCTTTCAAAATAAATAAATAAACATTAAAAAGAAAAAAGAAACTGCCAAACTACTTTCCTAAGTCACTGTTCCATCTTACATTCCAACTAGCAGTAAATGAGAGTTCTAGTTCCTTTGCCTCTTTGTCAATACTAAGTATAGTCAATCATTTTAATCATTCTAATAATTATGTGTTGACTGTGAGTTATTTTTTCTTCCTTGTGCTTCTGTTTTTCAAATTTTCTGCAATGAAATTATCTTTCATAATAAAAATATTGTTTAAAGTGAAATAAAAGGTAGCCTAGTCCAATATGAAGTCTTAGTCTGAGGACTCTTCTCATTTTAAAGGAGTTACCCAGGGGCGCCTAGGTGGCTCAGTCGATTGAGTGTCTGACTCTTGATTTAGGCTCAGGTCATGATCCCAGGGTCATGAGCTTGAGCCCAGTGTCAAGCTCCATGCTGAACATGGAGCCTGCTTGGGATTCTCTCTCTCTCTCTCT